GCTTCTTGAAGCTGCCCTTGAAGAAAATCCTGCTTTATCATTTGAGGAATTGGCAGTGGTTCTCAGTTCAAACCATAGAACTGTTCATCGTCATCTTCAACAACTTGGAAAAGTTCCTAAACTTGGAAAATGGGTGCCTCCTGAATTGTTTGAAAACAACCTCAAATCCCGAGTTGACATCTGCTCTTTTCTACATTCTCGCCAACTTGTTTCACCTTTTTTGGATAGACTTGTGACTGGCGACGAAAAATGGATCTTTTATCGAAATATTAAGCGTCGTAGACGGTGGCTTGGTAAAGGGGAAGGACCTCAGCCACAGTGGAGAAGGGAACTTCATGGGAAAAAAGGTTCTTCTTTCAATCTGGTGGGATCGCCAAGGAATAATCCACTTTGAATTCTTACCACCTAATGCAACAATTAATGCTCAAATATACTGTCAGCAATTAGAGCGTTTGAACCAAGCTTTTAGGAAAAAAAGACCTGCTCTAGTGAAACGAAAAGAGGTGATGTTTTATCAGGACAATGCGCGACCCCACACAGCAAGAATCACGTCACAAAAGATCGAAGAACTTGGTTGGGTGAAAATTCCCCATCCACCTTATTCTCCCGATCTTGCTCTTTCAGACTACCATTTGTTTCGTAGCTTACAGAATCATTTGGAAGAAACAGTTTTTGTAGCACAGGAAGAGGTTAAAACTGACATTTGCGAGTACTTCCAATCAAAGCCAAAAGAATTTTACAGTAATGGAATTAGTAAGCTTGTTAATAGATGGAAGGAAATCATAGATAATTAGGGAAAATACATTGTTGATTGAATCTGTAATTAAATGTAATTTTTGGTCATTTGTTTTCTTTATTCAAAATTCGGACAGAACTTATGGGATGACCTGATAGTAAGCTTGTTAATAGATGGAAGGAAGTCATAGATAATCAGGGAAAATACATTGTTGATTGAATCTGTAATTAAATGTAATATTTGGTCATTTGTTTTCTTTATTCAAAATTCGGACAGAACTTATAATGATCTGATATATATATATATATATATATATATATATATATATATATATATATATATATATATAACTAGACTCGTTTCGAAAAACCCTCAATTTTTGATTTGCTAATCAAATCAAACTTTCCCTGCCGATCCGTTTAGGTGAAACCTAGGTAGGTTTGTCTGGCTCACTAGGTGTATCTATCTATCTATCTATCTATATATATATATATATATATATATATATATATATATATATATATATATATTTTGTTTCAGTACTTCACGTGCATCCCATCCTAGCGATGATTAATTAATGATGAACATGTCACTTTCGTTTTATAATCAATTTCATCATGATTCTTCTGTTCAACTTGGAGAGTAAATATATATTCTTCTTATTAAAATTGGGGTTCAACAGATTTATAAAAAAAAAAAAACTTTGGAGAATTCCAGTAAGCTACCTTTAATCATTTCTATCATACAACTGTTCAAAGCTTAATCTAACAATTGGACACTTTTGCTGTTACACCCGGTATATATATATATATAAAAGGATTAGAAGATATCAAAAGTGTTTCATCTGTTTGATTTCATTTCTCTAAGAATCGCCTCACTGTATAGGTTTAATAATAACGATGTTAACAGAATAGGATTAAAATGAAAGCCCATAGTATCCTCAGCATCCTTCTGTAGAATTGCATTTCTGTTGCTTCAAGTCTCTTCTTTATCTGTGAGGAGATTGATTAGCTTTTGAGAAGCATCTTTCTTTTCGGATTTCGGAGTCGAGAATAAAAAGAAAGAAAATACAATTTGTTTTAATCTTAAAAGCATTCACTGACAACATAGACATTTATATATTGTAATCATAGCCTTCTGTAGAATGACCTTACGTCGTAACAACTGTCTCTCAAGCCAGGAATTTAGGTCCAGTTATCATATAAAGAATTAGGAAGAGGACAGACGGACCGTAACCTTTTCATGGCAAAGCCGTAAATTATCGATCGGAACTGGTTACGAAACCTGTTCTGTAATGATGAAATAAAGTAGACATTGCAAAAACAGCAAAGAATATAACTGAATTATAAATCAATAAGATCGACAAACAAAGGCGATCGATCTGCCTAGGAATCTTAAAGCATCGCATACCTAAATTTGGTATTGACCTTTTTGTGAATTTTTTACCATTTCCATAGAAATGTTTTCACTGTATGCACTTTTTGTCCGAATTTTGACTTTGAAATATCAAAATTTGCTTAAATCTAGCAAATCTTTTTCAGGCAAAATTCATCCTAATTCTTCTTATATTAAAACAGTAATCCAATATAAAAAATAAGTCAACCTTATTTACCAACCGTTCCACAAAGTCGGACATAAAATAAACATTTCCTAAAACTGGAATTTGGATTTAAAAAATAATTTTACCTCAAGAAAGGCAATAAAGCCGCTAAGACGCTCGCGGTTAATGAATGTGAGATAATCTCTATATAAAATTCTGTGACTTCCGTTTAGTCCGTACCTCCGTCTGTCCGCCCTGCGTTTGCGGGAACTTTAAACAAATCGCAAGACCAATATTTCAAAAAGTCGGAATTTGGCTTCACAAAGAAATATTTAGGCATAGCCAGTTGTATGTTGCATGCTCAAGATTAAGAAATACCCTTGGGAAAGGTATGGATACACCTGTTCTCCCCCTCCCCCACATCTATGTTTTAATTAGTAAGACTTGTATCACTAAAGCTTTTATTATCTCAAAATTGTATATATATAACATTCTATAACTTTAGTCAGTCCGTAACGCCCTCTAAAATAGCCATACATTGACCGATCGAAAGCAGTTTTTTCGGGAGAAGTACAGACAAGGGAGTACAAAGTACAGCTGGTTTTATTGGAGTACGTAGCTTATTACAAGAAATTTTCATTGATTTTTGGGGAAATAATTAAAAGTTTTATTATTTAACATACAAAATACTCCCACTATCTTAAAAACAATATAATGATTAAAATAACAAATACTTATTTGATAAAAATGCACTTTTTTTTTGCATATATTTTCTTTAAGTTTTTATGTGCAAGCATCCAGTTTCCAGTTCGCCCTGCATTTGTGATAACTATAAACAAATCACGATTAACAAGTTGGAGTTTGATTTTCAACCTTAATATCTACATCCATGGTCAGTTGCATGCCAGGCTCAAAAGAAGTAAGAAATTTTTGTTTATTTTATTTTTTTAGCTGTTAAAAAGGAGAAAAAAGTAATTAAAAAAAAATATATTGTTTATCATAAAGTCCAATAAAATTCAATTAAATTAAAGAAATTATTAAATTGTGTAGTAGGATTTTTGTCAAAATAGTTTTCCAAACAAATCAGTTTATTCAAATTTCGTCGCCCGCTTAACCATTCAGCCACAGAGAACTTTCCGTTTAGTCCAACCGGAAAGTTCTCTGTACAATCTTTCCTGACAACCTCATCACATTGCACGTCAGACCAAAATATTGTTTCCTAACGGAAAACAGGTTCAATTCAAAGTCAGAGAATTTTTTCATTTGAATCTTCTGTAATATTCAGGCAAATAAATCAGAGTCATAGTTTACTTTCAAACAGAACATATAAACTGATAAGTTCTTCCATAAAATTAACGTTAAACAGAATACATATATATAACTTTTATTTTTTATTTATACCACGTATTGTGCCAAGTCTTCGTTAAAAACGTCGGAATTAACTAAGTCCGTGGTGCTTAGGATCAGTGTCGTATTTCTGTCATCTACCGAGGAACAAAAGTTCACTGACCCGGTCTTCAAATTGTTTATCTGTGCTACACAATAACCAGAAATTGTAAATAAAATCTGCGATAATATTTAAGTATAAACCACGGGTTGTTTATGTGTTAGTGTTATGCCTTTGCCTCACATTCAAATCTTTGCCTGAGATTTGCGTCTGCTATTTTAGATAAATTTAGTTACTTTATCCTCGAATACGAGTTACCAGACATTATATATATAAATATAAATTTTATATAAATTTTAATAATTGAAATTTATTTCGAAGTTTAAATCTTTGTTTTACAAATGTTAACGGGAAACACTATAGTCTCAAACAATTTTGTTAATTGATAGAGAAATGAATGTCGTCTATAATTAGGAAGTCTTCTATTCTCATCTCTTTTTTAATGAATGTGTTTAATTTTCTAGTATAAATATCAAGCGTAAATTCTCATCAAATACTACTAAAGGTTTTTGTTGGGTATAACTTTCTTCATATATCTTACTGGTTTTATTTTATAGAAATTTTTACTCTAAAACGATTTGAAAAACGATAATTAATTTGTCGAAACATATCCAAAAACAACAACTCTACGTTAATCGTTAACCTTCTCAACCTTGAGAATTTACGCAATGGAATATTTATCAAAATAGATGAACATTTTGTTAAAAATTAAAATTGTTTCTATCCAGGAACTTATTGGTTAAGAAATTGTTTTTTTGTCTAATTTTTAAGTATCTATTTGTAAAAGGTGCCAACTTGTTTTTGCAAATTTGTATTCTGTGTTATTATTTTTATTTCATTTAATAAATACAAATTTCGTCTGAAATTTCACACCCGTAAGAACCATGTGTTTTTTCATTTGCTGATTTCTTAATAAATACGATTTGACGTTCAAATCTGGAGCTCCTTTCCCAAAAAATGAGTAAATTTTATAGGCACTTATTGAATTTTTTTCACGTATGAAAAAAGTTGGACTTTTTTCAGGTAAACCACTCTACCGCATGTTCATGATTCTTCGGCCGTATACGAACCGGCCTTCCTATCCACTTCTCGGCAATATATTTGAAATAATCGTCATTTCATTTCACCTTTTGTTGACAATGACATTGTCAACGTTTTTGCCATATTCATCCACCATTTCATTTTTGTACGATCCGGCCTTCATTCAAATCGTCTCCATCCAAAGAATTTCTGACATTTGAAGCATTTTTCAAATAGATTAAACATTTATTGTTCAGCATTTTTCCTTTTAAAATTCCTTTTTTCATTTCACGATTCTGCCGTTGTACACTCCGGCGTTCAAAACGTTTTTATTACAATTTGTCGTGTTTCGTACTGTAATTAAATATGACAAGCTTTTCAGAAAACAAAATGTTGTACTATTATTTCAATATTCAAAAAAGTTACACTTTATTTTTAAAATATCATAAAAATCCATGATATAATAAAAAATGACAAAATTTTAAAAAATAATTAACATTTAAATAAAAAAAACTTGTAAAGTAGACTAGGTTTATTTATTACACTTTCTTTTTGAGAGGAAGACAAACGCGTCAGAAACATTGTTCTTTTAATATATAGATCTGAATTTTATAACACGTATTTTATAAATAAAAACTATATATATATATATTGTGAACGATTAGTAAAAATGGCGTTAATAAAATTTGATGTAAAACTTTGTATATGTGAATTGATGTTATAAAGATTACTGCCAAAATGAAACGGTGGTTTATAAAAACCATATATGTATAAATTTGGCTTTCCGAAATTTAAAAAAAATGAAGCTTAAGTCTGATTGCCTCAAAACTTCTTCTAAATAAAGTTTGTCAACAAGCGTGGTTTAAAGAGATACATTTTGTGATATTTTTAACCAAAAGGGAAAGTAAAGAAACGACCTCATAGTATTGAATTTCTGATTCAATTCAGACCCGATTTTTGTAACTATTTAAGATGTCTAGGCTGTCTGACAATAGAAGGGTTTCGGCATTCATAAGATACATCGACTATTTATAGATGAATATATAAGGATAAAATAAAGCAGGAGGTTTCGGCATTCAAATATATGACATCACACACATTATGGGATCTATACATATATAAATATATATATATATGTGTGTGATGACGACGAAAATTTCAGATAGAGTAAATCTGTAAAAGAAAAATAAAAAGAATAAAAACAAAGGAAAATCTTAACTATAGTCGTTTGTCCTCTTTGTCACTGATTTAACCCGTATTATATAAATATAAGATTTATATATATATATATTTATATATACAAATATATATGCATATATATATCAACCTTCTATATATTTCACAGTCGAATAATCATATATAATATATAATTGTTTGTGTGTGTGTGTTTTAATGTGAACTAGCCTGTGTTTGAGCAAATCTATATATAATTCTGTTGACAATTATACTTATGCACACAAAGGAAATTTTTATCTTCAATTTCTCTTTAAATTTTGGATTCTGAATTATTAATTTTTTTTTTAATATCTTTTAATACTTTTTTAATGTCTTTATAAATGCTTTTATGGTATTTAGTTTCTTTCAAATTTCAATCATTAGGAGACTTGATCTTATTCGTTTGCGCCATTCAAAACACTCAGGATAAGATGTTCTCTTGCCACCCTCCACCATCCTTTTAATAATGGAAATATTTCCAAATAAAATATCGAACAAATTCACGATGTTTGATTGATGTTTTTTCAGTGACATCCAATGTAAAATTTTTCACGACTAAAAAAACTGTTAATGTTTCGATGCCAGATTTTGAGAACTTTTGACGATGGAACATGTGGTTATTTAGAATTGTTTTCTCATGTTGTTCCAGTTCTATCAGCTTCGTTCAAACCAAATTTTCAAATTCATTAGATTCTTTGATTCGGATTAGCCAAGAGTTGGTGAATGAGCATTTTTTTAGCCGTTAAAGTTTTGTCAAAAAAAAACTTCCTAAGTCGGCAATCTAATGTACAGAAATTCATTTGTATGTGATCAAAACAAATTGGAATTAAATTTGATTGGTCCATTTTCCGTCAATCAATATTTTTCAAAGAAAGCATTCAAAATTTTAATTACTGGTTGGAAAATACAGACTATGTGGCACCATGCATCCGGACGATTTGAAAGAAATATTTATAGATATATGATTTGTTTTTTTACGGTTTTCAAACCATTTGATAATTATTTAAGGCCGAAAAAAATATTTTTAGGTTTTAAGAATAATTCTTTCTTTGCATTCAAGCGATTTGGGAGAAAGAAAACGAAAACGAAGAAGAAGAAAAAAAAAAGTAATACCAGACGGGTCATAGGCGAACACACACACACGGCTTAAGAGATGGAAATGAGGAGGAAAAAGGTTATTGTTGATAGATATCAGATGTCGAAAATATCTAGGTTACCTACAAACAAGCGTTGACCGATTTCCGCTTGTCCACGAAAAAATGGAATTTTGTTATCAATTAGATGTCACCAAAAGAAGAAATCCATTGTTGAACATAGACGAAACACAGACGGTCTTCACTGGGTGTAAAGAATTAAAAAAAAAATTCCCACACAAGAAGTTTTCACTGGCTAAATTTTTTTTTTTTTTGACAGAATAAACGTTTGCCCTGTGATAATAAAGATTTTTTGTTATCAAACCATGGGCCAAAAGGAAAATGAAATATTTTATTTTTTGCTTTAGAAACGCCAAAGAAATAAATACATAGGAAAAAATTCTTTCTTAGATCATGTCCAATTAGCGATAAACTGCTTGACAAACGCCACGTGTTAAAACCGAGGGTTGTCACCTCGGCCGCTCATGATAAGGGCGATTTAATTAATTTTTTTTTTTGTTAAGAAATATTTTTTCCCAAAACAAAAAAATTTTCCCCGACTGAGACGTCATTGGCAAAATCAAACGCACGGGTTGTTCTAAAATACCCGACTAAGACGTCATTGGCCAAGTGGATCACATGACGCACGAAGGAGGAGGAAAGATACCCGACCAGAACCTCATTGGCCGAGAGCGGTCACGTGATGCACGAAGAAAATCGGTCGACGCCTCTATCCAGAGTGTAAGTGTGAGAAGCCGATACGAAGAAGTGGGGAAGTTGGTGAACGCCCTCAGAAGCAGAGTAAGAGAGTGGGAGTGAGAAAGAGTTACCAAAATGGAAAAGAGTGGAAAATTCCTAACCAGAAATAAGAAGGGTGGATACGTATTTAGAATTATCGAAGAACCCCCGACGCCAAACAGACCCACCCCAGTTTTGACGGCGTCAATAAAAACGAAGCCCCAACAGACAGAAATCAGTTGACGACTCGGACGGCGGGCCGAGTTCGTTCGCCCCTAGCGGGCAGAAGAGGCCAGTTGTTTGGCCCTGAGTGCAAAAGTTCGTTTGACCCAAGCTGGCGAGAAGAAGTTAGTTCGCGCATCGGCGGCAGAGATGAGTGCCCAGTAACTTGAGCCCCGGACGGCAGGCAGTTCAGCCGCAGACCCTGGCGAGAATTTTTGAGCCCCGGACGACAAGCAGAGATGAGCGCCCAGTGTTGAAACCACATCAAGATAGCTGACCAAGATTCACGCACACTTTTGGACTCTTCTTCAACCAAGAACAAGTAGTTTGAAGAGCGACTTAGGACCAGACCACAGAAATAAGTTTTCGACTTTCGTCCAAAGACACAGCAAAACACAAATTTCTTAGAGTAGACAACTTGAAGCGTTAAAGTTTGCCTAGCGAAAGCGTCGTGCCACAATCCACAGAACGGGTCGGGAAGTAGACATAGTCCTGTGTACCGAACAAATAGACATAAAAAGTTTGTTACCTTTTTTCTTTGATACTTTGAACTTTGTGAATTTTCATTTTATTTTCTTTTATACATATTTGTGTGTTATCACCCCCGTTGAACTCAGCTTGCATTACGGCCCCGACCCTGTTTGATCTCGTCTGTTTAAGATCAATTCACAACGTGGGTAGGCAGACTAGAGATCAGTGCAGTTACCCTGGTAACCAGGCGTTGGAAGCAGGTTGGGAACGGCGAGGCTGGTATCAATCTAACCAGATTCCTACCCGAATCACCAAAGGGTTAGAACGTCACGTTTGGAGCAGCGACACCCGGACGGAGCGGCGAGGAGCGAACAGCTGACGCCGCGGCGAAGACGTCACAGCCGAAAAAGTCCCAGAAGAATCTATGGCCCGAAAAAATATTGCTCGACAAAAAAAAAAAAAAAAACAAAAAAAAAAACATATAAAATCTAATATATATAATATTAGTTTCTATGGATATGGGGAAATCCAATCATTTTAACAAGGGGAGGTAGAGAATTCATTGTCGCTGTTGTATCAAAATATCAGTTACTTACGAAAAGTGATTAAGTTAAGGTAGGGTAGGGGTACTTTTTCCAACGAATGGTGACATCCGATTTATCGCATGTCATCTGGTCTTTTACAACGATAAAAAGTTTTCGGCACTTTTGTTTCGCCGTTAAATTTGTACTTGTATATATATTTTTTTTTCTAAAAGGGTTGTTTGTATATGAATACATCGTATTGAACTACAATTTTAAAATATTATTCTAAATTTTAATTACTAATAGACTACACATCTTTAAAAAAATGCAATAGAATTATTTAAATTATTTAAAAATTATTATTAAATATCAAATATAAATATGTATATTTCATTTATCAGTTTTTTTTTAACATTACTTAAGGAAGATTTTTGACAATGTCGACAGAGAATAGCTATTTCATTTTTGATTAAGTAAATTTTTACTTTTTGTAATATATAGTTTTTCATGTATGCACAAAGGACATGGGTCATTTAATGACCTACATATCATTGTTTCATTGGCTTCTTTTAAGTGCCAGGGATATTTTGATAGGGACGTCTGATTTCGGTATTTATTTATCCTAAAAGAACTTTGATGTTGGTTGAACCGTTTCTTGTGGCTAGACGTTCAGTTACCTCGAGCTAGGATCGAAACCCGACTGAATTGCCATTAGTCGGAGATTCGACCACTAGACCGGCAGAGATAAAGGTGGATTTAAGCGTATTTATTTCTAGATAAACACACAGTGACTGAGAGAACTCGATTCGATTTACCGAAGAGTCTTGAATTATTAGCCGTAAGAGTCACTGTTTACAAACCCACACTTCCTCCCCAGAGAGCTCAGATGAAATAAATTTTTCAGGAGCATATATATTGTCATCCACAGACTGACTGCTTCGCTGTATCGCAGCTCATCAGTGTGGCTAGACTTCCTCTAGCCAGGATTGAAACCCGACTGAATTGGCATCAGTCGGGCATTCTACCACTAGAACGGCAGGGATGAAGGTGAATTTAAGCGTATTTATTTTTAGATAAACACAGCATACCGTAACACTGTTAGGGAGCAGACAGGTACGAGATCTTAGCCAAAGATCACCCGTAGGTAACAATGGTTCGAGGTATCCTACTTCTGGCCCTTAGTCGAAACTCCATTGCCGGTTAGGTCATACGCAGGACTAGCCCCCATCCTATAAATATATATATATATATATATATATATATATCAATCACTACTTTCTTACTGCCAATGAATTGATCTTTTCAACCATAAGCATCTGGTGGCTTCTTTTGCTGCCAATGTTGGATGTTCATATTTTTATTCTATTAAAAATATTAATTGACAGAAAATCCCCCCAGATTTTGATTGACTGAAAAATCACCTAAAATAAAGATTGAATAAAAAATCAGACTGAAAAAATACCCCCCACAAATATCAATTGACTGAAAAATCCTGAAAAAGCATCAATTGGCTGAAAAATCCTAAAAAAAATATCACTTGATGGAAAAATCCCACAAAATATCAATTGACCGAAAAACAAAAAAAGTATCGATTGACTAATAAGAGCCAGAGAAACAAACTGAATGAAACATCGAAAAATAACAAAACAAAAAAAAAAAACTGTTGAATGAAAAACTGGAAAAATTTAGATTGACTTAAACCTCACCCTAAAAACAACTGAAAAATCCGAAAAAAATATCACTTGACAGCTATATCTGTTTGTGAGAAAAAAGGCTCTGCGAGAAAGGTGTTGATGGGTGAAAAAGTAATTTGTCACCCATAAAAGCCATACTAATAAAACAAAAACCAAGGTTGGGGCGGGGAGAAATGTGGATACCTAATCTAAATCGGAGAAGCAAACACGAAATTATAAATTGGATATAAAGTGAGAGATCAATCCTATATTATTATACAGCACCAGTTAATCTCAAGAGGTCACCTAGCTAGGTACTGTGCAGGTTCTACGTTGCTTACTGACCAGGCTCGACTTTGCCTTACGATCGCCGAATTTTAAATTTGCTGATCATACGTGAACCGTTTTTGCAACGTGATATGTCCGTAAGCTGATTATTTTAGGGTTTTAAATATTAACGTCCCCACCACCGTTGAAAAGTACTCGTACTATTTTTTTTCTCTCATTCCACTTGTGCGGTTTTTAGGGGAATGGATTTTATGAGAATATTAATTATTTTTTTCTACTTTTATCGTTCTAACTAATAAACTGAACATTGAGTGTCTGATGCTAGATCTGAATTGATCTGTAATCGATATGAATTGATTGAGATAAACATGAATCGATTGATATCAATGGATACGGAGAAAGTGAGATGACTAAAGCCGCCGCTGTTATTGTCAGGATATAGTTTTGTTCCCCCCTCTTGTGCTTCAAATTGCAATTACCTGTCATTCTCATTAAGAGTCTAGGTAATAAACTGGACATTTATTTCTTGCCTGTCGCTCTGATGTTTGATTCTAGATATGAATAAAGTGATTTCATGGCGTCAAAACTTTTTATCATAAAGAATTTGCCGTATTTTGTGGCTTACAAAACGTTGCGGCGTGGAAGACGCAGCCTAATATTAGAAAAACAAAAAGTAATTCTCATACAACAACATATTCACCATGAGTCCCTCACATACTGACGTATTGTTTACTCGTCCGATTTTGTTTGTATGCCAATAACATACTACTCAAGAGCAGAAAGGCTCCAGCCGCTGCTAGTAAACAGAGCATGTTTAAGCTTGTGGCTCGGCTCCAGGAAGGTTTATAGTCTTGTAAATACTACAACTGAGGTTAAATGATATAAAAGGCTGGATTAGATAGCTAACATTACAGTGTAATGACTCAGCATACAAATCCACGTCCCTATCAGTCAAGCCAATTAGGTGACCGCCCAAGCTTGCTTGAACCTGGGAGTTGTTTTAGATTCCTCTTGGAAGATGCATACCTATATTTCAGGGTATTTTTAGGAACAAAATTGCGTCTTGCAAGCCGGAAAATATGATATTTAAAATCATTCTATCATAAAGACATTCGTTATTCGACGAGGACAAATTCTGCTTTATGAAAATGATCAGCCAGATGTTGCAAGGATGCTCACCGATTTGAGATATGAGACTTTTCTACATCCACCGAATCTGCTGATCTCTCGCCCACTGACCATCACTTTCTACAATATCTTTTTTTTTTAAGCCCGAATACTTTCCTTGGCAAAGAAGATGCTAAAACTATATTAAAAGATTTCCTGGATTCAAAAACATGAATTACAATGCAACAGGATGCCAGAAATGTATTGCTGTTCAAGGATTTTGACTGATTTAAACATTGTTTGAAAAGATTAATTCATGAATAAATGTTCATTCTAAAATCGGACATTATTTTCCGAACAATTTAATATAACCACATAAAGGAATATTTCACCAAATCTGTCTTTCTTTATTTCTTTCTGTCTTTCTTTCTTTCTTTCTTTCTTTTCCGCCTTTGTTCTTTCTTTCACTTTCTTTCTTTTTTCTTTCTTTCTTTCTCTTTCTTTCTTTCTTTTCAGCTAATTGTTTTTCATTCATTCTTTCTTTTTTCCAGCTAATTGTTCTTTCATACTTTCTCTTTTTTCTTTCTTTCTTTTCAACTATTTGTTTTTCTTTGTTTTAAGTTGTTTTTCTTTCTTTCTTTCTTTCTTTTCTTTTCAGCTAATTGTATTTCTATCTTTCTTTTCAGCTAAGTGTTCTTTCTTTCTTTCTCTTTCTTTCTATCGTTCTTTCTTTCTTTCTTTTCAGCGATTTTTCTTTCTTACTTTCTTTTCAGCGAATTGTTTTTCTTTGTTTTTCTTTCTTTCTATCTTTCTTTTTTTTCAGCTAATTGTTCTTTCTTTCTCTTTCTTTCTTTCTTTCTTTCTTTCTTTCGTTCGTTCTTTCATTGGTTTTCTTTCTTTCTCTTACTTTCTTTCTTTTGTTCTTTCTTTTTACCTCTTTCTTTCTTTCTTTTTTTTCTTTCTTTTCAGCGAATTGTTTTTCTTTTTCTTTCTTTCTTTCTTTCGTTCTTTCTTTCTGTTTTTCTTTCTTTCTTTCTTTTCAGCTAATTGTTTTCTTTCTTTCTTTCTTTCTTTTCAGCTAATTGTTCTTTCATTCTTTCTCTTTTTCCTTTTCCTTCTTTTTTCAACTAATTGAATATAAACAAATGTTGGGCTCTATGGGAGTTGAACAAACACAAATGTGCCTGAGCAAGTGTCTTCATTAAGAATTGGCTTGCCGCCCTAATAGACGGATATCCTCGAATACGAGTTCCCAGCTATACTTTCCTGTTAACTTCGTTGGGGTTACATATATATGACTGTGCGCAATTGTACGCCGGATATTTTCATTTAATGAAAGACCTGGTGGTGTTTAAAAAAAAAATCAAAAGAAAAAAAAGAGAAGACAATTAAAAAATAATTTTGTTTATTACCAAATTGTCTCCGAGAAGTCCAGTAAAATTTTATAATTTTCGGATTTCTTTAGGGTTTTAAAAATCCTCGCTGAAAAAATTAGTCATACTGTTTTTATCATTCGTTCCAATTCTTTCATTTTTATTTGAATTTAATTTCTATTGTTGTTAAGTTGATTTTGCGAATTTTAGCTAAATTCGCTTTATCGTCCTGCAATGAGACAATAGTTCTTTTCCCTTGGGTTGCACGCATGTTTTGTGATGACAAGGAACACTCGCTGCCAATTTTGTGATGTCAACAAATATCAATTGTCACTCGATTTAGTAGAGACTTTCTAATTGCAGATACGACTATAGTACGCCGTTGAACAATGCTGGAATCAGACGCCTTCGAGCAACAATAACACTAATAGTGCTTGCTCGATAAGACTCGCTCAATAGTCAACCACCGAATAATAATGCCCAGGAAAATGTATGAATCTATAATTTGTGATGCCAATGAATTCTCGATGTCACTTTCATAATGCTCGTTGAAGTAGAGACCTTGTAATTGTAGATATAAATATAGTACGCCTTTGAACAATGCTAATATCAGAAGCCTAGGAATAGCACTCGCATTAATAGTACTTGCTGGATAATACTCGCTCGAATAGTAATCAGTATAGTGATCCGAATTGAGAAATAGTATAGTGAAGAGAGTAGAGAACATCCGCCCGAATAGTAATAGAAGATAGAATAGAAATGGCGATCCGAATAGTAATAGAGGATAGAATAGAAATGGAGATCTGAATAGTAATAGAGAATAGAATAGAAATGGAGATCTGAATAGTAATAGAGGATAGAATAGAAATGGAGATCAGAATAGTAATAGAGGATAGAACAGGAAAAATAGAAGGATAGAATAGCAATGGAGATCCGAATAGTAATAGAGGATAGAACAGAAATGAAGAACAGAATAGTAATAGCGGATAGAATAGCAATGGAGATCCGAATAGTAATAGAGGATATAATAGAAATGGAGATCCGAATAGTAATAGAGGATAGAACAGAAATGAAGATCAGAATAGTAATAGAGGATAGAATAGCAATGGAGATCCGAATAGTAATAGAGGATAGAACAGAAATGAAGATCAGAATAGGAATAGAGGATAGAATAGCAATGCAGATCCGAATAGTAATAGAGGATAGAACAGAAATGAAGATCAGAATAGGAATAGAGGATAGAATAGCAATGGAGATCCGAATAGTAATAGAGGATAGAACAGAAATGAAGATCAGAATAGGAATAGAGGATAGAATAGCAATGGAGATCCGAATAGTAATAGAGGATAGAACAGAAATGGAGATCAGAATAGTAATAGAGGATAGAATAGCAATGGAGATCCGAATAGTAATAGAGGATAGAACAGAAATGAAGATCAGAATAGGAATAGAGGATAGAATAGCAATGGAGATCCGAATAGTAATAGAGGATAGAACAGAAATGGAGATCAGAATAGTAATAGAGGATAGAATAGCAATGGGGATCCGAATAGTAATAGAGGATAGAACAGAAATGAAGATCAGAATAGGAATAGAGGATAGAATAGCAATGGAGATCCGAATAGTAATAGAGGATAGAACAGAAATGAAGATCAAAATAGTAATAGAGGATAGAATAGCAATGGAGATCCGAATAGTAATAGAGGATAGAACAGAAATGAAGATCAGAATAGTAATAGAGGATAGAATAGAAACAGAGATCTGAATAGTAATAGAGGATAGAATAGCAATGGAGATCCGAATAGTAATAGAGGATAGAACAGAAATGAAGATCAAAATAGTAATAGAGGATAGAATAGCAATGGAGATCAGAATAGGAATAGAGGATAGAATAGCAATGGAGATCCGAATAGTAATAGAGGATAGAACAGAAATGGAGATCAAAATAGTAATAGAGGATAGAATAGCAATGGAGATCCGAATAGTAATAGAGGATAGAACAGAAATGAAGATCAGAATAGTAATAGAGGATATAATAGAAATGGAGATCCGAATAGTAATAGAGGATAGAACAGAAATGGAGATCAGAATAGTAATAGAGGATAGAATAGAAATGGAGATCTGAATAGTAATAGAGGATAGAATAGAAATGGAGATCTGAATAGTAATAGAGGATAGAATAGAAATGGAGAACCGAATATTAATAGAGGATAGAAAAGAAATGAAGATCCGAATAGTAATAGAGGATAGAACAGAAATGGAGATCTGAATAGTAATAGAGGATAGAATAGAAACAGAGATCTGAATAGTAATAGAGGGTAGAATAGAAATGGAGATCCGAATAGTAATAGAGGATAGAACAGAAATGAAGATCAGAATAGTAATAGAGGAAAGAATAGAAATGGAGATCTGAATAGTAATAGAGGATAGAATAAAAATGGAGCTCTGAATAGTAATAGAGGATAGAATAGAAATGGAGATCAGAATAGTAATAGAGGATAGAATAGAAATGAAGATCCGAATAGTAATAGAGGATAGAACAGAAATGAAGATCAGAATAGTAATAGAGGATAGAATACAAATGGAGATCTGAATAGTAATAGAGGATAGAATAGAAACAGAGATCTGAATAGTAATAGAGGATAGAACAGAAATGGAGATCTGAATAGTAATAGAGGATAGAATAGAAATGGAGATCTGAATAGTAATAGAGGATAGAATAGAAATGGAGATCAGAATAGTAATAGAGGATAGAATAGAAATGAAGATCCGAATAGTAATAGAGGATAGAACAGAAATGAAGATCAGAATAGTAATAGAGGATAGAATAGAAATGGAGATCTGAATAGTAATAGAGGATAGAATAGAAATGGAGATCCGAATAGTAATAGAGGATATAATAGAAATGGAGATTCGAATAGTAATAGAGGATAGAACAGAAATGAAGATCAGAATAGTAATAGAGGATAGAATAGAAATTGAGATCTGAATAGTAATAGAGGATAGAATAGAAATGGAGATCAGAATAGTAATATAGGATAGAATAGAAATGAAGATCCGAATAGTAATAGAGGATAGAACAGAAATGAAGATCAGAATAGTAATAGAGGATAGAATAGAAATGGAGATCTGAATAGTAATAGAGGATAGAATAGAAATGGAGATCCGAATAGTAATAGAGGATAGAACAGAAATGAGATCAGAATAGTAATAGAGGATAGAATAGAAATGGAGATCCGAATAGTAATAGAGGATAGAACAGAAATGAGATCAGAATAGTAATAGAGGATAGAACAGAATTGGAGATCAAAATAGTAATAGAGGATAGAATAGCAATGGAGATCCGAATAGTAATAGAGGATAGAACAGAAATGGAGATCAGAATAGTAATAGAGGATAGAATAGAAATGGAGATCTGAATAGTAATAGAGGATAGAATAGAAATAGAGATCTGAATAGTAATAGAGGATAGAATAGAAATGGGGATCAGAATAGTAATAGAGGATAGAATAGAAATGGAGATCTGTATAGTAATAGAGGATAGAATAGAAATGGGGTTCCGAATAGTAATAGAGGATAGAATAGAAATGGGGATCCGAATAGTAATAGAGGATAGAATAGAAATGGAGATCCGGATAGTAATAGAGGATAGATCAGAAATGAAGATCCGAATAGTAATAGAGGATAGAATAGCAATGGAGATCCGAATAGTAATAGAGGATAGAATAGAAATGGAGATCCGAATAGTAATAGAGGATAGAATAGAAATGGAGATCTGAATAGTAATAGAGGATAGAATAGCAATGGAGATCCGAATAGTAATAGAGGATAGAACAGAAATGAAGTTCAAAATAGTAATAGAGGATAGAATAGCAATGGAGATCCGAATAGTAATAGAGGATAGAATAGAAATAGAGATCCGAATAGTAATAGAGGATAGAATAGAAATGGAGATCTGAATAGTAATAGAGGATAGAATAGAAATTGGGATCCGAATAGTAATAGAGGATAGAATAGAAATGGAGATCTGTATAGTAATAGAGGATAGAATAGAAATGGGGTTCCGAATAGCAATAGAGGATAGAATATAAATGGGGATCCGAATAGTAATAGAGGATAGAATAGAAATGGATATCCGGATAGTAATAGAGGATAGATCAGAAATGAAGATCCGAATAGTAATAGAGGATAGAATAGCAATGGAGATCCGAATAGTAATAGAGGATAGAATAGAAATGGAGATCCGAATAGTAATAGAGGATAGAATAGAAATTGAGATCTGAATAGTAATAGAGGATAGAATAGCAATGGAGATCCGAATAGTAATAGAGGATAGAACAGAAATGGAGATCAAATTAGTAATAGAGGATAGAATAGAAATGGAGATCCGAATAGTAATAGAGGATAGAACAGAAATGGGGATCAGAATAGTAATAGAGGATAGAATAGCAATGGAGATCCGAATAGTAATAGAGGATAGAACAGAAATGGAGATCAGAATAGTAATAGAGGATAGAATAGCAATGGAGATCCGAATAGTAATAGAGGATAGAACAGAAATGGGGATCAGAATAGTAATAGAGGATAGAATAGAAATGAAGATCAGAACAGTAAGAGAGGATAGAATAGCAATGGCGATCGTTAGTCGTCAAGATATTTTCTATTTATCTATTTATCCTCTATGGTCCCGTGATCCACTTAATTTTATGAGGGGACCGACTGTGTTTGCTCATTGGCAATCTATGTTCAAACTCAAGTTTCTGCAGCGACACTTTATTTCTATATGGGAGTTGAGCCCCTTTAGAGAGGAGAATTCTTCTATTTTTGGGACGGTTTATATGTCTTATCCACCGGAGCGTCCAAAGACGTGGAAAATTGACACAACTTTGACAGCCGAATGTAGAATGAAAAGTCATTTTGTTTCATTCTGCTAAGGACAGTCAACGAACATAAGGCTGGTATGTCTATTTATTTGTTCGTTTCTTCTGTCAAACATTGTCAATATTTGAACTTTGTCAATGTTTTGGGACATATTTAAATTATTGTAACGTGTGTAATATGTGTCTTATTAAATATTTTGTTTATTACGGGCGTGTATCTCGTCTTTCCATAATCACACTCAGTGTTAGTGTATCAATAGCTACACTAATGCTAATATTCCCGCAAT